AGTGTTCAGCTTTACCATGTTGTCTGTGAGTAACAAGGCTTGGTGGGGCCCTTTGCCCTTTGGCTGGAAGAGGGCCAGGACCTCTATTTAAAGAAAAAAAAAAAGGAAAAAGAAAAAAAAGCCAATTAGATGAATTGTAAAAGATACAAATAAAATCCAAGCGTTAGTGAAACAACTTCTGTAACTTTGCATTAAGAGGTAAATGATCTTTTTAAAAAGAGAACTCAGTTATTTACATTGTAAATGTGCTGATGGCATGGATCCATCTTACTGACCTCAGCAGCCTTTTTAAAAGTTTTTGCAGTTTGTTTCCAACATTGTGATTTTAAATTGTCATCAAAGCAATATTAAATTGATAGCGGCCCTTCCAGCTCCAGGCAGGACTGGGAATCCAAACTCTGTCAAACCCCAAATCCTTTAGAAGATGACCTTCCTTCTCCCTATTGTGAATAAGCTGCACATTCCCTCTGAAATTGTCAGGGTTTTCTTATGGATGAAAAATCCCACTTATGGCTTTTTGCTCGGGTTTGGAGGTGGGAAGGGCAATTCTCCATCCATCAGCTCCAGACTGCACTGCCTCAGGAACACGGCTCACTTGCCAGCTTTGGCCCACTCGTGGCACTTCTAGAGGAGGAAGAAAGTGCAACTGCACAATTCCAGCCAAAAAGAAATGAAGAATGAATAGTGCGGATCCAGGCGTTCCTGTGGAGATTCAGGAGTTCAGCTGGGACTGTGGAGAGTTTGGGTCCTTGCCAATTGGATGTGCGTTCCCAGCTGCAATCTCCTGGCCTGCAGGGGAGTCTCACTCACCTGCCAGAGCAGAAAGCTCAGGCACTGTGCTCAAACGGGCTCGTCTGATGCAAAGCTGTCAGAGCAATGTGAGGGCAGAGCCAGCCCAGCTGTGCCCAGGGCAGAGCCCAGCAGAGCCCTGGCAGAGCCCAGAGCAGCCTCAGCACCCGCAGAGCCCGGCTGCAAGGAGAGAAACCAGAAACCACCCATCAGCTGAAGGCTCCTGTCCCCTTGTCCCAGCTGCCCACAGAGCCCAGGCCATGCTGGCTGTGCCCAGAGCTGTGCCCAGAGCTGCCCATCACTGCTGCCTTTGGGAGCAGAGCAGGAGGGCAGGACATTCCCAGCCTGCAGCCAGCCACAGCACATCCAGCCCTCAGCAGCTGCCCAGAGCAGGAGCCTCCTTGTGCTTGTTGCCATCATCTCCCAAAAGCTCTGATCCCACCATGCCAAGCAGACGTGACTCACCTCATGCCATCCTCACCTCCTCCTCCTTTGCCTCCCCAGTGATGCTGCTGCTCCCACTAAGGACTCGCTGGTGACAGCAGGGGGACACCGCAGGTCACCCCTCGAAGGAACTGCAGGGTCATGGTGGCTCCTGGAGTCCCCCCATGTGACAGCTGGAGGTCCCACGGTGCTGCGGTGACAAGTTGGTGGGTGGCTGCTCATTTTGGAGTCTCTATGGTGGGTCCCAAAGTCCCCTCCTGTAACCGCAGTCATTCTCCCAAGCCGTGCCTCAGTTTCTCCCTCATTCTGCAGGGACCACCTGCTGCCAATGTTCTGGAATTGGGTTTATTTTGGGAGGTTTTGGGGTTGGGGTTACTCGGATGGGCTGGTGGGCCAGTGGGTTGTGCTGGGGTGTGGCCAAGCTGGTGGTCATCTGGGCTGGGGGCTGGCCAGGTTGGGGCGCTGCAGGCCAGGGGCTGTCCAGACCAGAGTCCAGGTGGCATCCAGAGTTCTAGTCTCCATCTGGACCAGGGTGCATCCAGAGTGGGATCCATGGCTCCTGTGTCCATCTGGACAAGGGTCCAACCTCTCCTGCTCCCATCCATCCCAGGCTTCCTGGCCGTGGCCACTGCTTGCTGCAGAGTGGACAAGACCCATGGTCAGTCCCAAGATGGCCCCAGACCCTCTCCCACCAACCCCACCAGGCCACCCACCTCGAGCTCTGGTACCACTGGTGTCCCCTGGAAGCCGGGCCAGCTCTGGATCTCCTGGAAGAGGAGATCCAGAGTCTTGGGCTGGGGACTTGAGGGCATCCAGGATGGTGAGCACCGAGTCCATGTGGTGTGGGGGGACAGATAGGAACACAGCTGGGGACAGGCCTGGGGGGGACACGGGTTGGGGGTGAAGGGGTTAAGGGGTGGGGAGAGGGTTGGAGAATGGGATGCACCCAAAAATTTGCCAAAGTCAAAGGGGAGGGCACCCAAAACTGGGGGGAAGGATGGAAAAGAGGGAAAGGATTCAAAATAGGGAGAAAGGGCCCCAAATAGGGGAACAGTGACCCAAAACAGGGGAAGGAGTCAAAATACAGGGAAAGGATCCAGAACAGGGAGAAGGAACACAAACCAGGAGAGAAAGGACCCAAAATATGGGGAAAAGGATCCAAAATGGGGTTGGGGAGGACCCAAAATGAGAGGACAAAATGTGTAGCGGGATGTCATGGCATGTCGTGGGATGTCACAGGGTGTCCCTACCTGTGCTGGGGTGGGCACAAATGCTCCGCACCAGGAGCAGCCACAGGAACATCCTGAGGGACACGAGGACACCTTGTGGGACATGGGACCTCGGGGACTTTGGCCCCGCCGGGGGTGGGAGACAGGGACATGGGGGGAGGGACAGGGACACACAGAGGAATGACAGGGAGCGATGATGGGGGATGGGGACAAACAGAGGGGAGGGGACACAATGCCACCAGGACACACATCAGGGAACAACTTTGGCACACCTACGGGAACACTGCCACCAGGACATCTCCGGTGACACCCAGCATGGGGCCATGTGACCCCATGGGTGACTCTGACCCTTGCCCTGTCCCCAGCCTGTCCCCAGGGTCGGTCAGGGTCCCCTGAGTACTGAGGCCCTGGGACACCCTGGTGTCTGTCACTCTTCCAGGCTTCTTGCCACCAGCTGAACCAGGTCCCTGTCCCACCCTGCTGGGTGGTGACATTTGGCTGGGACACCGTGGTGGTGACAGTGGGGACGTGGTGGCAGGAACGCTATCTGGTAGTGCTTGGCTGTGGCTGAGATGAAGGTGCTGGTGGCAGTGTGGTAGCACAGGTGGTGGCACTGATACTGTCCCAGTTCATGTCCTCATTCATGTTCCATATGTCCCATGCATGCCCCCTCATGTCCCCACCCAGGGCTGTGACCCCATGTGCCCCCACATATATCCATCCATGTCTGTGTTCCCCATGTCCCCATCCATGGCCATGTCCCCCACGTCTCCATCCATGGCACTGACCCCATATCCGTGTCTCCCTACATGCCATTGTCCCCCACATGTCCCCATCCATGCCCTAGTTCAATGTCTTTATTTTTACCCCAATTTCAGGGCTTTCAAAGGTGATGCATGGACAGAATACTCTTAAACTAATTAAAATTAAAAAGTGGTATGTTTATTACAATGCCAGGCACAAGCAGAATAACTTCCAAAGGCATGTGCACGCCCCAAGAATCCAGACATCCCCTTTGTCCCCTAACTTGTTGCACATGCATCAAGTTTTGAAATAGGTTCATGCACATTCATTTACCAGTTTTGCATTACAATTAGTTCTCTGGTTGTCTATCCCTCTCCCGCAGCCTCAGTTCTGGTTTCATTCTTGTTTCAAGGTCCAAGGGGCCCCTCTTATCTTCCTCCAGCTTGGAAGTTCACATTCCTTTCATCTTGTTTTGAGGCAGTTTTGCAAGCTACAGCACAGCAAATTAACAGACTCTACAGACTAAACAATTCAAGGCAGCACACTTCACCAAAATCTGAAATGGATTTCTGACCCAAGTTAATTCCTAACCCCATGTCTCAAAAAGATCAACAGAAACCTTTTCATCTCAAGGCCAAAACAAAAGGATTTACCTGTCCCTGCTGGCAGAGCATCCATGTGCTTGGGTGGGTGGGAAGAACCTTTTATGGAGAGGTTTCCACATCACCATTGTCCTGGGTTGACTGTATGATGCTTTTATCCCCAGTTGTCTGTTCTTTTTATGCTGAATAATAAGTTTTGCACCTTTAAGACTTGTTCCAAGAGTGAAGGGGCAGAGAAGAAGCGCAGAGCTTGTTTTCAAGAACTGCACTCCCTCCTCCACATTCCTGCTCCTGGCCTGTGTTGTCTGTGGACAGACAGCAGGACAGAGCTCTCCTTTGCTTTTAGTTAGCTTTAGCTAGCTGAGGCAAAGAAGTTCCCTGGACTGTGGCTTTTTTTTCCCTTTCTTTGGACCTGCTCAAACCTGCTCTGGACTGAACACCCAGAAGAGCAGCAGCAGCTCACACCTGTGGCCAAGTGGGCCAGGCTTGGGCCACGGCATTTCCAGCGCCGAAGGGACTGATCAGAGACTGAGTGAGCCGAGCTGCAGCCTGGGGGACTTTTCCAAGTTCGTCTCTCTCTCTTGGAGTGGCAAGAAGTTTTATTGTTTAATATTGTTTAGGTTTGCTTGTTTAATAAACAGTTTTATTCCATTTTTCTCCAAGGAGGTATCTTTCCCAAACCGACTGGGGGGAGGGGCTGATTGAATCTGCTTCCTAGAGGAACCCTTTTGGGGGTTCTCTCCCAGTTTTGCCCTGAACCAGGCCAACTCTCCAAAATCAGGGGTTTGCCCCAGTCTGTCCCCATTTAGCTGCAGAAGATCCCCAAGGGCCAAAGAGAATTAAAACAATAGATTTATGTTGGAGAAAACCTTCAAAGCCATCCAGTGTTGCTTGATGCCATCAGAAGAAGCAAAAAGTGACATCTTTCTGGGGTCAGAAGTAAACAAATCAGCTCTCCACAAGGGATTTCTGATGTTGACCTGTGGCTGTGTGCAGGTGCCCACAGGGAGCCAGGAGGATGTGGGGCACCCAGGCAAGTGTTTTCCCAACAAGGATCACTGGCACCACGGATCACTGGGGCTCTGCCCACCGGGACGCACTGGGGATCATCCAGTGCAGATCTTCCCATGAGGGATGGAGTTGGAGCAGTGCACGAAGCTCTTCCTGTATTGGGGCACTCACAGAGCTTCCCTTACTGGTGACTCTGTTGGTGTCTGGTCAAGTTACCACTCTGTGAGAAGCTCTTCCCACACTCAAGACACTTGTAGGGCCTCTCCCCAGTGTGGATGCGCCGGTGCTTGAGGAGGGTGCAGCTGCGCTGGAAGCTCTTCCCACAATCAGGGCAGCGGAAGGGCCTCTCATCCGTGTGAATCCGTTGGTGCAAGAGGAGATTGGAGCTTGTCAGAAACCTCTTCCTGCATTTATCACACTCGTAGGGCCTTTCTCCAGTGTGGCTCCTCCGGTGCCTGGTGAGGGTGCAGCTGCGCTTGAAGCCCTTCCCGCAGTCGGGGCAGCGGAAGGGCCTCTCATCTGAGTGAATGCGCTGATGCCTGAGGAGAATGGTGCTCTTCATAAACCTCTTCCTGCATTTATCACACTCATAGGGCCTCTCCCCCATGTGGGTCCTCTGGTGTCTGATCAGGTCAGCATGCTTGCAGAAGCTCTTCCCACACTCAGGACACTCATAGGGCCCTTCCCCCATGTGGGTCCTCTGATGTCTGATCAGGTCAGCACGCTCACAGAAGCTCTTCCCACACTCGGGACATTTGTAGGGCTGTTTCCCTGTGCTGCTCCTCTGGTGTCTGGTCAGTTCGTAGCTCCTCCTGAAGCTCTTCCCACACTGCCCACACTCATAGGGCCTCTCCCCCGAGTGGATTACCATGTGGCAGATCAGGCTGGAGCTCGTACTGAAGCTCTTCCCACAATTCCCACACTTGTAGGGCCTCTCCCCAGTGTGGCTCCTCTGGTGTATGACCAGGTCAGCACGCTCGTAGAAGCTCTTCCCACACTCAGGACACTTGTAGGGCCGTTCTCCTGTGTGAATCTTCTTGTGTCTGGTCACTTCAGAGCTTGTCCTGAAGCTCTTCCCACACTCCCCACACTTGTAGGGCTTCTCCCCCGTGTGGCTCCTCTGGTGTATGACCAGTCTGGCACGCTCACAGAAGCTCTTCCCACACTCAGGACACTCATAGGGCCGTTCTCCTGTGTGGGTCCTCTTGTGTCTGGTCAGTTCAGACTTCACGATGAAGCTCTTCCCACACTCCCCACACTCATAGGGCCGTTCCCCTGTGTGGATTCTCCAGTGCATGATCAGTTCAGATCTCCACCTGAAGCTCTTCCCACATTCCGAGCACTTGGGCTTCTCCTTACCGTGAACCTTCTCATGGACCCCCAGCACTGAGCTCTGGCCACCTCCCTGGCCCAGGGTGGGTCTTTCCTCCTCAGATCCCCGTGATCTGTTTTTGCAGCCCCTCCTTGTGCGAGATCTCTGGGGCTTTTCCTCCTCGTTGGAGTCCTGTGCCATGGAGCCGCCCAAAACAGCCTCTTCCACGAGGTTCTGCTGTGGGGATTTGTCCTCCCTGGTCTCCATCCTCAGCTCCTTGTCTGGGGGAGGAAGGACAAGGATAGGATGAGATTTGCCTCTGTGCCACAGGGAAGGGCAAGGAGATTCCCCCAGTGCATCTCCGGCAGGATAGCATTGACTGCAGCATTGTCCTGCAGCTGGGAGCCAGGCTGGGCTGGGAGATGGAGCAGGAGAGAGGGGGAAAGGGGCAGGGACTTCCTCCTCACCTGCCTGGGGCTCCTGGGCCATCTTCCTCCTCCTCGCAGCCTCCTCCTTCTCAATTGGGCCAAGGTTTGGGAATTGGAAATCCTGGTTTAAAGGGTGAAAACAAGGCCTGAGTGCATTGGCTTTGATGGTCCCACTGCTCAAGCACAGCTGGAGAAGTCAGCACCCCTTCTAGCCTCAGGGGCCCTGGAGCCCACTCATCCCTGGCCGCCCCCACCGCTCCAGGCTGCCAGGGATGCTCCAGCTCTGTAATCGCCTTGTGGGAACCCTTAAAATCAGAAGGTTTTGAGGAAGTTGTAAAATAAAGGCCTCAGAGACTGCAGAACAGCAATTAGAGCTAAGCAGTAGACATAAGAGTTGTCAGCAGAAAAATTACACAAGAAGCAGAAGAGTAAGGAAAAATAGAACAATAGAACACTTGGCCAGAATGACGCCCTAAATTATAGAAAAGGATATATACTGTGAAAAATGTTTATTATATGGCTCTATGCAAATATTTACTATACGTATTACGTTATATTGATTAGCGGTGCTGTATTAACATTTTAATAGTATGGTAAATGTAGTTTGGTAGTTAAAATGGAGCTTTTGTAGTTAAAATAGAAACTTTGTACATGGGAAGAAAGGAATGAGGTACATGCATCGAGATAGCAGCCACAGGATATCTAAATCTTCCAGAGAAAAATAATTTAGACTCCCCTATCAGAAGAAATAAACCTCTTCCTGCCTCGCTCAGCCCTGAAGACACCACAGGATCAAGAGGAAGACGCTGACACTAATCAGACAGATCAGTTCTTTGCTTCAACAGAATTTATGCATCATGTATGAGATATATGAATACACAACAGACTATTTCTTTAAAGGGTTAATCCTTTGTACACAAGGCATGCTAGTCGTGGCTTAGTGCCTGAGAGCATCCGGACATCCATAATTCTTTGCTTTTATTGTCCTTTACTGTCCTAACTCTGAATTGTCCAAATTCTTATTCCTCTAATTTTTATTACTGTTTTTATAACTATTTTATTACTATTAAACTTTTAAAATTTTAAAACAAGTGATTGGCATTTTTCACATCAAGAAAGATAGTAGGAAGTTCTAAGCTTAATAATGGAGCTGAGTGCATTGTGTCTTAAGGCTTGCAAGCATGTATTGTATTCGAAATAAGCAAGCATTGTTTTAACCAAAGGTACTTGTGCTTATAGTGGCTGGATAGAACTACTGTCAATATGCTTTTGCTTTGTGTGATTGGTCAAAAAGCTTTTAAAATAAGTTGTAACATTAAGTTCTTTGTCTGCTACCTGGGATGTGAGCTGCTGGCATCTTCCCATTGTCATAACCATGTAATGAGACTGATGCTAGAAAATAAACAGCTCGAGACGCGTTCCTCAGCAGTCCGGTCTCGTTCGTGATTTGTACCCAGACCCCCGGCTCCGGGATCGCCCCTCTGCGCTCTCCCCGCTCCGGGGCTGCCGCGTTCCCCGGCTCTCCCGGGCATCTCCAAACCCGGTATCACCCCGGGTCCGCCGCTACCGGGCGATCGCCACGTGGGAAGCTCCAAGTTCCCTCCAGGGGCATTTCCAGGAGAGCTTTGGGTCCTGAGAGATCCAAACAACCCCTGCACCGCAAAAAACCCTCCCGGAGACCTTCCCGATGGATTTGGGGCGAGCTCCCCCTCCCCGCTCACCTGCGGGTCCCGAGGAGGGCGATGCAGCGGGAGCCGGGGCAGCTGCGGCCGGAGCGGGCGGGGGAACAGCGAGATTCTCCACGTGCTGCTGCTCTTCCTCCTCCAGCTCCTCCTCCTCCTCCTCTTCCGTCCCTCCTCTTCCTCCCGCTCCTCCTCCGCTCCCAGCCCGGCCCGGGCAGGTGCCGACACCCAAAAGCAGCCGCGCTCTGCCCGGGGCGGGTTCCAAAGCGGCGCCGGCCCGTGCAGCACTGGGAGGGAACCGGGAGCGCTTTCCCTCCCGGCACCGCTCTGACTGGGAGCACTGGGACGGAACCGGGAGCGCTTTCCCTCCCGGCACCGCTCTGACTGGGAGCACTGGGACGGAACCGGGAGCAAACAGCGTCCGGACGCGGCCGCAGCCGGCGGGGAAAGGGGCAAAGCGAAGGGCGTGGTTATGCAAATCCGGGAGCGATCGCGCGCTGGGATTGGTGGGCGGGGGCAGCGCGGGGTTTCTTCGGTCACGTGAGGGCGGTGGGGGGCCTGGAGCGATGGCGGCGGCGTCCGGTGAGAGGGGACAGGAAGCGGGAATGGGGACAGGGAACGGGAATGGGGACAGGGAACGGGAATGGGGACAGGGAACGGGAATGGGGACGGGAATGGGGACAGGGAACGGGAATGGGGACAGGGAGCGGGAATGGGGACAGGGAGCGGGAATGGGGACAGGGAATAGGGACAGGGAGCGGGAATGGGGACAGGGAACGGGAATGGGGACAGGGAGCGGGAATGGAGACAGGGAGCGGGAATGGGGACAGGGAGCGGGAATGGAGACAGGGAATAGGGACAGGGAGCGGGAATGGGGACGGGAATGGGGACAGGGAACGGGAATGGGGACAGGGAGCGGGAATGGGGACAGGGAGTGGGAGTGGGGACAAGGAATTGGAATATGGGTACGGGACCGGGAATACTGAAATGGAAATACAGGAATGGGACTGTGAATAAGAGAAGGCGAACAGGGAGTGGGAATATGGGACAGGGAATGCGACTGCGGCATGGGATTCAGACTGGGATGGGAGCAGAAGTGCAGCAGGAGCCGGGTGACACGGAAATGGGTGGGTGAGAGGGGAGTGACAGCGGGAAGAGTGGGATCTTGGAGAAGAGACACTGGCAACAAGAACACAGGGACATGGGGACGGTTCCTGGCAGGAGGTCCTTGATCGGCTGCACCAGAACCTCTGCCAGGGTCTTGCAGCGCAGCCAGAGGTGCTCAGCCTGAGGTGCCCAAACCCCAGAGCAATGCCCAAGTCCCTCACAGGAACCCTCAACTCTCTCAAACCCAGCATCCCACACATCCCCTGGATGATCCCTCCATGTCCCCATCCTTGTCTTAATTCAATGTCTTCCTTTTTACCCCAGTTTTGGGTATTTGGAAAGGACAAGGAGAAATGAAAAGAAAATCCAGGCCATGGGGAGCCACGAGGATGTGGAGCCCCCAGGCAGTTGTATTCCGAACACGGATCACCAGCACCATGAATCACCAGGGCTCTGCCCACCAGGAGTCAGTGGGGATCATCCAGTGAGGATCCTCCCATGGGGGATGGAGCTGGAGCAGGGCACAGAGCTCTTCCCGCACTTGGGGCACTCACGGGGCTACCATAGTGGTGCCTCCATAGGTGCTGGGTCAAGGCTGAGCTCTGGGAGAAGCTCTTCCCACTCTGGGGACACTCGTAGGACCTGTGACATCACAAGGAGCAGGGCTGGATGCCAGGCATCCACCAAAGGTGCTCTCTCTCTCTCTCCTCCAGAGATGGACAGGAGAGAGAAAACAGAATGAAGGCTTCATGGGTTGAGCTAAGGACTGGGACAGATCAGTCAGCAATTGCCATCATGGGCAAATCAGTTCAAAATTGGAGACATTGAATTTATTGCTATCAAAATCAGAGCAGGATAGTGAAAAGTAAAATAAAGCTTCACAAACACCTTCTGCCCACCCCTCCCTCCTTCTGAGCTCTGCCTCCTCCCACAGTGGGTGCAGGGAGACAGGGAATGGGGGCTCTGGTCAGTTCATCCCCTGTTGTTTCTCCTGCTGCTCGGGGAGAGGAGTCGTTCCCCTGCTGCACCATTGGGTCCCTCCTGGAGGCACTTCTCCGTGAACTTCTCCATGGTGAGTTCATCCCATGGACAGCAGTTCTCCACAAGCTGCTGCAGCGTGGCTCGCTCCTCCATGGGCTCACAAGTCCTGGCAGGACCCTGCTCCAGCGTGGGCTCCTCTCCAGGGGTTTGCAGGTCCCTGCTGGGTCCCTGCTCCAGCACAGGTTTCTCATGGGGTCGCAGCCTCTGCTCAGGCATCCCCCTGCTCTAGCACGGGCTCCTCCAGGTGCTGCAGGTGCATCTCTGCCCTCCGTGCCCTCCATGGGCTGCAGGGCCCAGCTGCCTCCCCAGGGACTGACCAGGGAATCTCAGGGCAATCAGCTCCAGCAGCTGGAGCAGCTCCTGCCCCTCCTGCCCTGCCCTGCCCTGCTCTGGGGGTGTGCAGAGTTGTTCTTCTCACATGTTCTCACCCTGCTCTTTCCTATTCACAGTTACAACTACACAATCACCAGATTTTGTTTTCTGAAATCTCTTATCCCAAAGGCATTACCACTATTTCTAACGGGCCCAGCCTTGGCCAGCAGCCAGTCCCTCCAGGAGCTGGCTGGCGTTGACTCTGCAGGACATGGAGGAGCAGCTGCTTCCAGCAGCCTCTCACAGAAGGTGCTCCTAGAGCCCCCTCCTTAGCAAAACCTGGCCATGCAAACCTAGTATAAGTATGGTAGGGTTCTATTACCATTATTCATTCTTATTGTTACTAATATTGCTCTTTATGCCATTTATATTACAGTTAGTATTTTTCCTGGTATTTTTAGTCTTTTTGACTCTATATTAATAGTGGCTATAGTAGAACTTGAAACAAAAGTTCTTAATTGCAAGTAGAATTTATCATTTTGGCAGCTGCTTGCCCTGCCCTGTTCTGTGTCATTGCTGTGTGTGAAGCTACTGCTGCCAAGACTCCCTGTTTCCTTGGTTTGGGAAATTCAATGACATTGCTCACGTGTCAGAAAGAGAGGGCTCATTCCAATCAAATGTATTGCCTGAGCTCTTCTACTCCCAGTGTTGGAAGCTTTTTCCTAAAATTGCTGACTTTCTCAGCTTCTGTTAATTGCAATTTTGTAACAAAATGTTCTCAGATGTGGTTTTGAAAGATTCTGTAATCAGCTTCCAGTTTTGCTTTTGAATTTCTTAATGGTGTGTCAAACTGAACACAGCATTTTGGGTGGGAAGGCTTCAGTCTGACATAGGATTGTCTCAGCAGCAGCTGTTTTTGCACATGTAAGCAGAGATAACAAAGGTTCCATTCGGAACCCACAGTGCCCTGCTCGAGGGAGCTGCTCTGGGTGAAGCATAAACTTTAAGGAAATTTAGAGATATTAGAGGAGCTAAGATTTTAGTTAGAGATAAGCCTTACTAGAGTTAATTAAAATAAATGAGCAGGCCTTGATGAAGTTGAGTTAGTAGTTAACTAATAATTGATTGCTTGTCAACACAATGTTTAGTTAGCTGGGTTTATAATGAAGAATATAGAAACTGACAAATAGCTTTTAGGAACTAAGACAATTGTGGGCCTCCTCTGTTCTGAAATCAATTGAAGACAAGGAATGGGAGTTCTACCAAGAGTTAATTTGTCATATTTGCATTGAAAAGGTAGAAAGGTCAGAACGAGGAAGACTTCATTTACTTCCTCATTTTGGGACTCATCTCCATGAAAGGGACCACCGACCCATTTCAAGGAACAAACTACACGTGCTTAATAGCTTTTTGAAATTACTAGCATATGAAGCGAGGAATGGGATGTACCAAAATTATGAATATGTATTTGTATTTTGGGTGTTCGAACTTGTATGGATAAAAGGGTTCTGTAATCACTTGAAAGGCGCGGTGTGGATTTGGGAACTATCCCGCACGCTGCCCGGCGTCGTAGTAAACATACACTTTCTAACTTTAAACTGTTAGAGAGTTTTTGTCCGTCACAGCTGGATATTGGTGCTAGATCAATATCCGTATTTCTTTAATAATTCATGGGCGCTGCGGGTTGTGCCGGGCCGGGCAGCGGCCGCAGCCCCGGCAGGGCCCAGCCGTGGACACGGAGCCTTTGCTGGGCAGGGCTCGGCCCTGCGGCGCCAGGCGGGCGGTGCCGCTCCCGCCGGGACCCTGCGGGAGCCGGGACAGCGAGAGAGCCCGGGCCGAGCATCAGCCCCGGGGCACGGCCCGGGAGGGGGCACAGCCCGGGGGTCCCGCAGAGCCTCCCTGCTCCAGAGCCGCGCCTGCCGCAGCGGGGCAGCTGCGGCACCTGCGAGGCATGGAGGAGCCGCAGGCGGCGTTCCGAGCACTCCTTCGGGGCAGGATTTTGTCCCGCTGCGGGGAATTCCCGCGGGCCGGCCGGGCAGAGCTCTCTGCTCGGGACCGAGGACCGTGTTGCGTTGTGTGTCTGACAGCCAGTGATCCCTGACGCTGCTGGCAGCGGAATGGCCGGAGACAGGCCGGCAACAACACCCCAAGGGATCTGTGGGGCCAAGAGGGAAACACTCTGGTCACAGGAGTTGGATGATTGTGTGGTTGCGTGGCACAGACAGCAAGGAAGGGATGGGTACAGCTGAAGTGCCAAAACTGGAGAATTTTATTGAATAAATAAAAGGACACAAATAAGTGTGCCTAACAAAATATAAAAGGCTGCTTCAGAGGACCCCAAAGTGGGGCCAACACATACATATATAGTCTCCCATAGAATGTTCTAGAAGCCTTCTGGCCAGTCATGGGCTGTTACACCATCCTGATCTGCACGGCCACTCCCAATTGGTCCCAGAGTTCCTTGCTCCTTGCCATAAGCTGCCTGGATGTCATCAGTTGTGGCTTCTTATCTCTTGAAGCTTGATGTTCCATGTCTGCTGGGTGGCTCTAGGGCCAGTTCCTGGCGCCTGTTTGCTCCAGGACAAGCTCCCAAGGCCAGACACCTGCTCAGCAGCTCCAAGGCAGCAGGATTTTGGGAGGTCCTGGTGTTGGCTGCTGGCAGAGCCTCAGCGCTGAGCCAGGGAAGGTGTGGGACCCTCCCATGGTGGTGGTTGGGCTGCTCAGGTCAAATGCTTCATTGTCAGCCCAGAGCCATGTGGTGATCACCTGGTACCAGCAGGGGTGAGGGTTCGGAGAGCAGAGAAGGGTGGTACCAGAGCTTGGGTGCCGCGCTCCCGCCCCAAATCCCTTTTCTCTCAGCCCCGGCTAGCTCTTGTGGGGCGAGGGCGGGCGATGGAGGCATCCTCTGCCGCTCCCAGCTGGGGTTTGGAGAGTGCCTTTGTGGGTTCCGGGCAGCGCTAGCAAGCCTCGCGGTGGTAAATGAAGAGCGGATCCTGCTGGATGCTAAGTCCAAGTTTATTGTAGCCCAACGGGGCCAAATATCCTAGAACGGTGCCAGCCA